AAGAGTTCTCCTCTTGTCGGACACACTAATGACTGAGCCATGTCCCTCTCATTCTCAGAGTTTGCATGCACCCACTAGCTTTTAAGTGATGTTTCTGTCCTCCTTGTTAACTTTTTCCTTGTTTTTTGGTTCAATGACATAGTTTCGAATAAATGAATATGGGACGCTGAAGGTGGTGAGTGCTGATAAGATGCCTCCAGTGGAAGCTATAAAGGAGGGTCACACAGAGAAAGATGGGGACTCAGAGGTGGCACCCACCAGCAGGGACAATCCTACTGTGGCTCAGGGTAAGGGCACCGTGGTGGCACTTCTGGGAAGGGTACCGTCATCCAGCAGGTGTCTGGCATAGGCCCTGAGCGAGGCAAATGTCTCCTGCTTTCTGCTTTCTTTCCTTTGCTGCACCTTGTGCCTCAGTGCTCCTCTTCTGTCTCACGCAGATGTGCTGGAGCAGACCAAGTTGCCAACAGCGGAAAGCATGTGCCACTGTGATACCTGTGGCCGGAGACACGTGTCAGACATAGCCCGGGAAGGCAGGGGCTTCTGCAGCGAGCACTGTCACCAGCAGTTCAAAGAAAGGTAAAGGAAAAAGAGTCTGTTCCGTGCAGAGCCGGATCCATCCATGCATCTGCCCTCCCTCCCCTGGTTCACGTGCTCCGGCAAGGGATACAGGCACATCTGTCTCCAGTGGGTGCTGGGGCCCCTAGTTGTTTCCCTCTTTCCTGTAGGCAATGTCCTGGCTGCACTGAGGGGGGATGAAGACTCGTCTCAGGGGACAGCAGGGAGCACAGGGGTCAGATTTTTCTCCTGCCCGAGTTTTGGCCTCATAAACGTGCAGGAGTAGGGCTGCAGCAGGAGGTGGCCGTGGTGGGTGCTGCTCGGCTGTGCAGCGCTGTGAGGAGTTGGTCACGAGGGCATTTCCAGCCCCGCTGCTTGCTAACGTGAATCTTGGGACTTGTTTTCTAGCATCTTTGTGTGCCGGTTAGCTCAGTGGTTTGAGCACGGTGCTGACAAGGACCAACACCGAGGTCGTGGGTTCGATTCCCGCTCGGTCCCCATGTGTTGCCTGGTCTAATTGAGAGGTGGCGTCCCTGCCCATAACAGGGAGGTTGGACGAGATGATCTCTAAGGTCCCTTCCAGCCTAGGCCATTCTATTATTCTATGATTCTATGACTCTGATGCAACTTTAAGCCCTGCCATGAAACTAGATCGCTTCTGATCCATCCCTGAGTTCAGGTTTCTGACACCCGAGCATGTGAGGGTGATTCTGGGCTGTACCTTAGTTCTAACCTCTTGCCAGCTTGGGTGCTAAGATGAGTCAGGAGGAACAGGACCACGTGTGAGTAAGAAATGGGGTGACAGTGATTCTCTAGCAGCCACTCCCTTATGGCCACATACTGTGCCACAGTGATTTACTCTCCCTTCCTCCACGCAGGTCCGTCATTGTGGAAAACTCTGCCAGCAGCACCAACGCCACCGAAATCCTCAAGCCGGTGAAGAAACGAAAGAGGAAGGACTACCAGAGCCCCTCGGAGGAAGAATATGAATCTGAGCAAATGGTAGGGAGAGGCTGGGGAGGGCGTGTGTGTGCACGTGTTGATGTCAAGGGTGGGCTGTGGGCCCCCTGTGTGCCCTGTGGGGGTGCACGGTTCTCATCGGCGCTTGTCAGTGCTATGTCAGCTACATGTCGAAGGGGTAACGTGTTGTCCGTTAATGCCAAAAAGACTTGAATGTGTGGAGCGTCAGGGCTTTGAGGCACTTGGCTGGCTGTTTGGCCCGCCGTGTGCCTCGCGTTGGGCACGTCCCGATGGGGCTGTGGGTGTCGAGCGCTCTCAACTGCTCTCTTGGGTCTGGGCCACTAAAGTAAGTGTTGAAGCACGAGAGTGTGTGATGACTGTCCTGGGGAAGGGAGAGTGACTCTGACAAGGCACTGCTCGCCAGCCCTGAGTGTAGCAAATCCACTCCAGGTGTGATTGCTGCCACTCAGCACCAAAATCGCCCTCAGGCTCCCATCATCAGATCCTCTTGGCTGCGCATTTCTGGGCCAAGCGTCAGTCAAATCGCGGACTTCGGGGAGGCACAGTATGGCCCTTGGCACCAGCAGAAACCTCTGTGCAGATTTGCAACATGATGGGTTAGTGTTCTGTCTGCTCTTGTGTCTAGGAGGAAAAGCAGGAAGGGAGGAAAAACTCTACGGGAGACTCTGCCAGCAGCAATCTGGAGACGGATGCGTGGAACGGGAGCCAGCACGGTACGGAGGGCTGGGGGCGGTGGGGTGAGCACTTCCACCACCGTGTAGGATCTCACTGTGGGGCTGGGCGAGCATTTCGGTGCTCCAGCAGTCCACTGCAGTGTGCTGGTACATGTTCCTAAAGGCTTGTAAGCTCCTCTGCTTGCTTGATCCTGCTCTCTCTGTCTCTTTCCATTTCTCTCCTTTCCTCTCTTTCTCTCCATGGGAAGGGGGCAGCCTTACGGATACGGCTGTCTCTTCTTCAGACATTGGGCCATGCTGTATGGTGCTTCCTGGTCCCTCTCCTAGGGAGCTGAATTTATTACTCGCTCATGGATTCCATATTTGCTCCAAGAGGCACTATCCTGAGCAATAATATGACTCTGCATCATGTCTGACTTTGCATCCCCTGGATGCAGAAAAACACCAAGACAAAAGTAAAATAAGGAAAAAAAAAATGCTGGGACAGGAATAAAGCAGACCTTTGATAAGAACTAGTTACTAGTAAAGCCTCACATTCATTAGCTCAAAGAAGGTGTATTTCTGAACTGGCACTAAGATGAGGAACTTCGCTTACATGGTCGGGAGGGAGACTCACAAGTTTGGGAGCTGCTCCTGTAGGTCTGGTGCCGGTGAAGCCGGGTGATTTGGGGTTGTCTCATCTCGTAGGGGCTCTGTTCCTGGAGATCACAGGAGATCTCGAATGCAAAGCTGTTGACACAGAGGGAATGCAGTGTCTGCTTGTTTGGGGTTTTTTTCCTGCGGTGCGATGGGAGTTAGAGTGAAGGAAAACTTGGAAAAATACTGACAATAAGCATTTATGGGAAGCCTTTTGTCTTTGCATAGTGAAAGGTCATACTCAAAGTAATTTTGAAATGAAGCTCTTCCAGCTTCATACTCCTCTCCATAGCCAAATGTAGGGACAGAGCAGGGGCAGATGTCATTAACCCTTGACGTTATACTGAGTTAACGACTATTAAAAAGCACTTTCATACTTGCTTGCCAGGTCCTTTTCTCTACAATCCCATTCCTGAGAACGTAGCCTTCCTTGCTGCATACAAGTAAGCAGTGCTGAGCCTTGTTATTTCAGTATTTTATTTTCTCTTATTTTAGAAGTATGTCAGCAAACACAACACACACCTGGATTATCATTCTCCAGAGGTGCAGAGCTTGTACTTACGGATTCCCCAAACATGCCTGCCCCTTTTTTCTATGTTCTAAAGAGTAATAAAGGTGTCACTCTTATTAGTGAAGCATCTAGGTTAGTAACTGTGCTCACTGAAGCTCAGCTTCAACAAGTTCCTATTTTTTTAAATCTTTTTTTCTCTATCTCCACTTCCCCTAAGCCCAAGGAAGGAAAGAGTTGGTCCATTTTATCTTGATTTCTGGCCTGCCCTTCCCACGGCTGCCTGCCTTGGCTGGAAATTACTCAGAGCTGGAGTAGGCACAACACTCCTGGAGTCACTAGGAAGCTGGGAGATAAAGTGGCTGGAGAGCAAGAGACTTGGATTGTGTCTTGTGTGCCTTGGGCCTGGCCTTTGTGGCCTTCCCAGCGGGCTGAAGCCATGAATGATCACCTCCCTGCCTACGAAGAGGCAATGTTGTTGTCTCTTCTTGAATCCTGTAAGGGTAAATACATCTCTAGGGCATCAGGGTGGCCTTGGTGTGCTGAGGGGGCTCAGGCTGGCAAACATGCCCTATGAAGAGCAGCTGAGGGAACTGGGTTTGTTTAGTCTGGAGAAGAGGAGGCTGAGAAGAGACCTTGTCACCCTCTACAACTACCTAAAAGGAGGCTGTAGCGAGGCTGGTGCTGGTCTCTTCTCTCAAAGTAGTAGTGATAGGACGAGGGGGAATGGCCTCGAGTTGCGCCAGGGGAGGTTTAGATTAGATATCAGTAAGAAATTCTTCACTGAGAG